GTGTGTGTGTGTGTGTCTTCAGGTACCAGGAAACTTCCATGTGTCGACACACAGTGCTACAGCGCAGCCCCAAAGCCCTGACATGACCCACAGCATTCACAAGCTGGCATTTGGAGAAAAGCTCAAGGTCTGGACACTCAGACATAGTCAGAAAAAAATATGGACATAGGTCACAATCTACAGTAGCAAGGCTAAACACAGATCCCCTTTCTCTCTTTTGTCACACAGGTACAAAATGTAAAAGGAGCCTTCAATGCATTAGGGGGAGCTGACAGGCTGTCATCTAATCGTACGTATGCACACTACACACACACACACACACTCATCATAACACCATGTGACATTAAAGTAAGCCTGCTTGCTGACATAGAATGATGCAATGAAATGAGACACCTAGTGGACGGCTATTTCATCCAAACTGAGTGGAAACTTGATTCACACAGCTGACGCTGCACCTCAAATGGAAGAAGTCCAGCCAGATGCGTCATTAAGAAAACTTTATCCATTTTTGGACACTGAAGACCAATTTTTTTTTATTGAAGTAATTTTGTTTCTCTTGCAGCTCTGGCTTCACATGACTACATACTGAAAATTGTTCCAACGGTGTATGAAGACCTGTCAGGCAAACAGAGGTTCTCCTACCAGTACACGGTAGCCAACAAGGTGCTGCCCATTTTTCTTTCTTTCTTTCTTACCAATTCGATCATACATCAATGTCATATGTTGTTTTTGCACTTGTCATGGAAGCAGCGTGACCATCCCAACATATGGCCGGAGCAGGTATCACGTGTTAACTTGTGCACTCACCTGGAAGTGAAAGCTCGCCCTTAGTGACTGGAAACGCTCACTCGATGTCAACAAATCATAAACACACTTCCAAGAACTGTGTTGACTGACAGCTGTGTTTTGGAGTTTGGAGTAATAACAGTGCAGGTCGGCTGTGGAGGAGGATGAAGCCCTGTGTGAAATATTCCAAAATCTCATTGCCAAAGCATAAATAAAGGTCCAGCTGAAGCACGCATCAGTGCTTGGATCTTTTATTTATTTTTTCATGTTAAATGTATTAATAAGGCCATCACATAACAATAACTCACACATTGTAGCCTCCTCCCGCTTACTTCATCAGTTTCATTCAGCCAAGATTCATTTTTAATGACTCATTTATGACTTTTAAGTGACTTTATCCGAAACCAATTCTGTAATGACTCATAAACATCATTTCCACCACTAGAGACAAGAATGAAATAATAGATTGCTCTAAATTGATTTCTAAACATAACGGGATTACCTCTGTGAGTGTTGATTGAATCAATTTCTCTCACCGGGCGCAGCTCCAAGACACGTAGAAATTGGTGACACGCTCTCTATTTCCATCCCACACAGGAATACGTCGCTTACAGCCACACGGGCAGAATCATCCCGGCAATCTGGTTCCGATACGACCTCAGCCCAATCACAGTCAAGTACACAGAGAAGAGGCAACCCTTCTACCGCTTCATCACAACAGTAAGTGATAATTGCTTTGCAAGAACAAAGTCTGAATATAATAAATACATCAATTTATTTTAATTCAAGGTCAGGACAGTGTGCATTGTGATTTTAGGTTTTAAACAACAATAAAGCTGCAATAGTTTTTTTGGCTGCTTTGAGGCAGTGGAACATTATTATCACCCTTTAAGTTTATATGATGGAGTACCAGTAGTATTAATTTGGAATTTGATGTTTCCATCCAACCTGACGGATATAAGTCCTTTATTCACTCTTAGCTCTGCTTTGGTCTCTAGCAAACTCCTGTGGGAACACAGAACCACTTTAAAGCTGCACTAATCTCATCAACCATGTTTTCAATAGCAGGCAGCTGTTTTTAGTAAAAAAAAAAAAAGCTCTGATAAATCCACTGTACGCTCCCTGCCTAGCACTGAACAGCAGACAACATTAGAGACTACCTGGTGAACATAGTGGAGCATTTAACTGCTAAAGAGCCAGATATTTACCTCAGGAGTTGGTGGAGACTAAAAACACAACTAAAAGGCTAAAGAACTAAAAATGACAATTGAACTTGAACAAATGAAAAAAAAAGACTCCCAAGTAAATTATTTTGCTGCAACATGTCTACTAACAACTCTATAAGCAAATAATGTATGTCTGACAAAACTATGTTGGGACTACTACTGTTGTTTTTCATTTCTCAACTATATTTTATGATTTTAGTTTTTTAGTTGAGTTATTTTTCTTTAGTCTTGGTTTGACATTATGGTAAATATGTTTATTTGCTGATAAAATATTGATTGATATTGATCTTTAACTGTATGTTAAATTTGAAGCTCTAGCTCTGTCCACCTACCACTATTTAAAATGTTATATTTTGTTAGTTTAACCTGTAGTAAAAATATCAGGTTTTCTTTTCCTTTCTGAATTCCTTTTACCCTTCTCTGCCTTTACTCCCCACCTGACTTGTCAGTTGAGGAATTTTTGGCTAAGCCCGTACCACATCATCAGGAAAGTTTCCTGCTGACTGATAATGCGGTCAGGATTAAATTGGCTGCCTGGCTGATGAGCTACACCGTTATTTGTCTTTTGTGTTGTTTAGGTTCATCATGGCTTAAGGCATGGGTAGGATATGACTTGCGTATAGTGTTATTATGACTCATGGCTCAAGATTGTGAGTCAAGCTGCAGCAGGGGCTCTTTGCTGGATTCCAGCACATTCTGAGGTGTCAGTGTAATGTATTGTTATGATTTAACCTGATTAAACACAGCTGATATTGAGCCATTTATAACCAGAGGAAAATATCAAAAGCTTTTTAAATAGCGGGACTGACAGAGTGACTTTTTCTTCTATAGATCTGTGCCATTGTTGGCGGGACGTTCACAGTGGCGGGAATCATCGACTCCTGTATATTCACCGCTTCAGAGGCCTGGAAGAAGATCCAGATAGGGAAAATGTCATGAGGACTGCTCCCCACCCCTCCTCGCATCTTATTTATAAGTGCAGAGTTGCTAGCCTGTTAGCTAAATCCAACCCTTGCTCAAACCAACTTCCTTTTGGAGATTGTATCACCGCGACCAGTGAAGTGGCTCCGGCACTCGATCTAACTACCAGGCTACACGGCTGCGTCTCAGTTACTTAAAGTCCTCTCAGGCTCCGTCTGCTCTGGTGACGTGTGGACGCGGACTATCACATGTCCGCTTCCTCCGTCTTCAGTGTCAGGAGAGGAGAGGGGAGGAGGATGGAAGCTCTTTTGTTACCGTGTGGATGAAGTACTGTGTGTCAGGGTTCAACTAGTATTGGTATTTGAAGGCTGCACCTGATTTATTTAGAATGAAGTAAAAAACAAAAAAAACAAATAGCTCACATTTGTGCTGATATTCAATTTTTGGAAATTTGGTGCTAGCATCAAGTGACACGAATCTCCACATATATTCAATCATAGAAAAATTTCAATTTATAGCTGGATTTAAGTGCCAAAGGGAATGATCATTTGAAGGAATTGTTCTGGTTTATAAGCCCGTGCTGCGTGGTGTAGACTGGACTGCACTCTAAAGTGTTTTGTTTAATTCACACATTCAGTAATATTACATTTTGAATCATTTTTTCAGCCCATCTATTTTATCTCCAGTATTCAAACTGTGTGCCTTTAGGTTTACTGTTCCACCATACAGAATTACCATCAGCTCTCATTTGTTTGTCAGTTTCAGTGGCTGCCACTAAAACCAGTGTTTTCCCACCTTCTTCTCATGCATGTTACAACTTACAGTATCTGTGTAGATTCACTTTTTTAGAGATTCTTTTCAATACAGGGGTCATTGTTCTCTTTTCAGTCCATTTATACTAAATAAAAAACACTTTGAGTTTTTCCATTCCATTTCACTTATTGCAAAGAATGTAGTGAATGTTTTTTCTAAGAGATACATTGATTTAGTACAATTTTTATACATGGTACATGGCTTTGTTTACTTATTGTGTTTCATGAAGTTGTAAATTGTAAAGAAGACTAGGTTTTGTAAGGAGAGAACTTGTAGGCCAAGATGTTTTTCCTCTTTGGTCCTTTTCTTTTCTACTGTTGTATAAAAGACCTCCTCTGATCAAGGACAGTGATAATCACTAGCCAACAGAACTGGTCTTTCAACTGTAAAGGTCATCCATTTCCTGTTCCGTCTCAAATTACTCTGTAATGCTATGTGTTCCTCAAGTAAAGGTACCATAGAAATCCCTGTTGTACTCTCCATGTCTTTAGATTTCCATTCATTGTACCTGTTGTACTAACTTTTATTTTGGTATTAAATCCTCAATTTAGGATAGATTTGCTTTACAGATCCATAAAGGAGTATTCACCTACTAGACTGAGATTTAACAAAGAAGGATTTTATATTTTTGGCCTAAAAAGGTGCAAGAAATTGGTTGGTTTCATAATAATATCTACAGCAGTCAAGTAATAAAGTCCAGGTTATATTGGCAAAGTAATAAAGTAGCGAGCTCCTGGTTCAAATGATCAAAACTGTCAGCTTAAGCTCTTTTACACTTGAAACTGAATTAATCCAGGTGCCCATATCAACAATTATTCATAGAAACTGAAAATGGAACCTTTGCAGCTCTGACTAACATCAACTAAGCTCCAGTGGCTGTAATTGTGTGTGTGTGTGTGTGTGTGTAAAGTGGACTTTGCACCCAAAATGCTACTCATTTCCCTCAGCTGGCAGCCAGAGTCAACATCCTGCAGGTTGTCATTTGTGATGTAAGCATGTAAGAGGGTGTTAAGCTGTCACAGCTGTCATCATGCTTACGTCCACCTCTGATAAGAGGTGTTCAGAGTGACTCACTCTTTTATTCGCCCTACATCCCTCTGTTTACCTCCGTCACTTATTCCTTGTTCACGGTGTCGTGTATCTAAGCGTCTCCACCTCCACTAAATGACACAGATCCACAAATATCTGCTTGTTTCGTTGATTGGTCCATTATGGGGTTCATCATGGCTCTAGCTCGCTGTGGACCTGTAATTTATCACAGCCTGACAATTGGATATTTGCACTTAAACCATATACTTCACTGGAATAATGACTGGCTCCGGCTTCATATTAATCATAGAGAGAAGAGCAAGAAGAAGATAAATTTCTTTATTTCTTCCCATATGCGTCATAATTTGTACAAATAAAGGAAGAATACTCTGTATATATAAAAGATAAAAATATAAATGTGTGAATAGAAAATACTTAGGGTTTGTTTTTGTCATAATGCTGCCACCCAGTGGCTTAATTGAGGAACTAAGGGCACATATAGCTATACAGCTCAGTCCATGTGTTGAGGCATCAGCCTGAGTGGAGAGGAGAGGAAGGATTTTGAGATGAGTAGAGGTCAGCTCTGTTCATAAGGATCTATAGCCTGATCTTTACTAATAAATGACTGGTTACATGTCAATACTGGGATGTTACTAAAGCCTACACACCTCCCTGTCCACTTATGTTTAACCCTCTCTGTTCTCGGGGGCTGCATCTCTGGTAAGATTACACATTGGAGGAGGCCAGGCAGGGGGCATCAGGTGATGAGAAGAAGTCGCAGAAGCCCTCCTCGGACAGGTGTCCGTACTCGTTGTTGTAGAAGGTCTGTCCTGAAAGCTGGCTGAAGAAGTTGGGACGGTGCCTGGAGCTGCTGGCGCCACTGCTTCGACCCAGGGAACCATGGGAGGCTGTCAAAGGCTCTGTGCTGCTGCTGCTGCTTATACGACTGGGGACAGAACGAAACAAAACATCTCTCTGCATTACTGTCAAGTATTAGGACAGACTATTAGATGTATAGTACATTAAATTAGGATTCACGGAGATGTGTCTATGGTATGAGTTTGAGTAACTTTGCTAAAGCCCAGTTGTTCCATGAAATTATTGATCCTCTTGTAAAAATTAAGCTACATATTTGAGACTCATTTTTAAAGATTTATGTCTTCAGTAGGAACCAAGGTGGTGCCAAAGGTGCCACAGAAGCTAGAAAGAAGGATTTTTTTTTTATAACAACAAGAATATAGAATATTGCTTATCCTTTAAGTGAAAGACAAAAAGTTCTTCTAAATCTACAGGGACCTCTATATGTTAACAGTTTGCCAGTTCCAGATCTTTGTTTCTTAAATGCTGTTATATCCAATTTTAACATGCATACACCTAACTTTGCTTTTTTTTGCTCTCTCTTTTCTATACATATTTTGGTTAAATTGACCACAAGGTTCTTGATTTTGTCCTTATTATGTATTGTATATAAATGTTTTAGTTTGTTTTTTTTCCATCTCCTTTAATGGTTGTTGATTAATTCCCCATGCTCATTTATGGTAAGTATATCACATAATGTCACATTACCTTAAACATTTAAAAAAAAATGTTTACAGACTTTTGTAGAACAAAGGAAGAAAAATGGGGCAGAGGTAGGTTATTAAATCTCTGACCGGCTGCTTCCAGTTCTGAGCATACATGTGATAATCATGTGATCAACTTAAAGGTTCCTCTTTGTCTTCGTTGTTCGTCTTCTTCTGTACTTGCAATAACCTCTTTTTGTTTGTAATTGAGCTATTTAGAGCTTTTTTTTTTAAAAGAAATTCTTAAAATGACTCATACTGTTGCTTACTCCTTCTTACCCATGCATAAATCGAGACTCTGCTGATGCTTATTTCCTTTCTGCTGTAGTTTCACTGCACATAAGGCTGTGAGTGACTACATTCTTCCGAGCAAGAGAGTGTGACTGTTTTCTCATATTGACTCTGAAACATCTATAACAGCAGCTTTTATTAATATATATGAAAGGCCTCGCTTTAAGCCAGCGCTCAATGTGTTGTTTCAGACAGTAATATGGATCATAACTTTTGTATGATTAACCTTTTCGAGACGGCACCCCTGTGCTTGTGCTCAATTCTCTCAAATTCTTCGGAGGCCAGGACCATCCCGCTGTCTGTCTGGTTGTCCTGGGAAGAGACACAGTTGGACATCATGTTAATTAAGTGCCTTTTGTTGACCCCTCTGCTATGTCTGTCTCCAAATGCAGAAACTATTTTTGTTATTATCTGAGGAGAGAATTCCCAAAGTGGAAAAGCCATTTGTAAAATGTCACCAGCCGGTTCACATTATCGAGAACTGATGAGGAGATAAAGCGCTTACTTGAGGAGCTTTCTGTGGGTGCATCTCCAGGGGCAACTCTTCAAACGTCTTCACTCTGGGCTGGCATATTTTGGAGGGTCCCACAAACACACAGCCAGCAAAGGGCACACAGTTATAATACCTGGTCAAGAAGTGTTGAAATGAATAACAGATTAATACATGAGAGCCAGCATGGAGAAATAATAGAAACAATAAAAAATCCAGAGCAGATGGACAAAATATGTCCATTCAGTGAAAAAACTTCATTTATTTTTAAATAATTTATCTTATGAATAGGGTGGACATCAGGCTGTAAGCTGTGTGACAGTCAGTGGAATTGATGATAAATAGAGTCGTGTACATTTTATCAGCCTTTTCATCTTGTTTAATTTGATTAATTAACACATAGAGCCTAGAGGCTGAAACTATTCAGTACACAAGATAAAGCAAACATCACAGCAATGTCTGGAAATACAGACATGATAATACATCTGGGTAATAAAATCCATGAATAAAACATCTTATCACCAACTAAATTATTTTGAGCCTCCCTGTGAGGGTTTGTGACCTCTAGTTTAATAATCACTCTATAAGAACAATCTGTCTTTTTATTCTAAATAACTATTAATTACTGCTTGATACTGGATAGTGTTATAAACTCCAGGAAATCTGGGGTCTTGTGTACAGTAATACCAATGGGCTTAGGGCCTCGTGAAAGAACCACTCATACAACAGATGTATTCTTAACTGGCACATACAAGAGAGAAACTTTGCAAGTGGTCCAGATCGGTCATATGAGTCGTGTACTTTTCTCTACAGAAAAACTCGACTGACTAAATAATGCCTTACTCTGAATCTGAAGATAAAGGAAGATACCAGAATCCACGAAAATAAATGTTCACCATAACATCATCATATTCGTCATGGTGCTCTGATGACAGATCATTGGTAGCTGTAATATTTTGTAATTGTTTCCAGTTCACTGACTGTGGACTGTCACTATATATATTATGTTTTTGTCTGCTGATTTTTGACAGCAGGACCTGAAGCTCTGCGATGTAATTTATTTCTTTTTACTCTCTGGTAACATTCTTCAGTTATGCTAATTATGAAATATCCTAAACATACACCACCTTGTGAACAGGTGGGATTCATTAGGAGAGTTTGATAAATCGGACTTGAAACACTGTACGAGCCAATCTCACAGAAAAAAATGATTTAGGATAAGAACAAATGTTCATGCATGAAGCCCAGTGTGAGGAAGAAAGGGGTCGGATAAGATTTTTGTTTATCCCTGTATGTGCAGGTGGAGGTCGCTATTAAAGGATAATTCAGGTGATATTCTATATATTTTGTTATTGTCAACAAATCCCATAAAAAGACCAAAAAGCTACAGTGTTGTCTCTCAATACTTCACAAATTTTTTGCCTGCTGTCACTGGTTTGTACTAAAGATATACATCCTAAATAAGTGGTCATAGATGTACTGTATACTTTCATCTTTAAAACAGAAAAAAGCAATGTCATTTTAAGAAAGCTTTACTCCAAAAGGAATGAATAGTGCATTTGCTTTGCACTATTTTCAGCTGTGGGTTTTTCTTGCACTAGTGAGTATTTACAGCATTAGGGTGGTGTATAAGAGATTGACTCAAAATAAACTACTGTGTGTGTTCATGGTAATTAAGAAACATGTCGCCCAGAGCAACAGTGTGATGTGTTTATGGAAGAGAGGAATGAGATACACCAGGTTTTAGATACACAGACAATACTTGTGGTTGGTTGTGGTCTATTCATGGGATTGTTGACAACAAGAAAAATATCACCGGATGAAACGCTTTAAAAATTGAATGTTTTTCCTGATGTGAGTTTTCCAGGTCCAAGTTCATTCCCTTTCATGGGATCTTGAAGCACACTTTAGTACCTGGTGGGCAGGGTGTTGCAGGCCACTCTCAGTTCCTCCTCAGATGGAGGCCGTGATGAGGCCTGTGAGAAACCATCATCTTCTGAGCTCTGCGAGTGGTTCAGAGGGACGTAGTCCTTCCCGTCCTGAGGGGAATTGAAATTGAAATTGAAACGCTTTACAAACTAAAAGCATCACTTTCTAGAATGAATGTCTCTCC